CAATTTTTATTTGTCTATTATACCTAAGTAAATTTGGGGGGAGGGAGATGAATGCAAAGGGAAATTATTGGAAGTTGTTAAGCATAGGTGTGATGTGAGTTTTCTTTAGGCTCAACTTGGTGGCTGTGAGGACAGGAGGGAGCCCGGACAGCAAAGGGCCACTCTGTCATCCAGACAGGAGATAAAGGTGGTGAGTGAGCCTGAGGCAAGGAGGTGTGATTTCAGAGGAGGACCCACCAAGACGTGCTGATGTGTGGGGTCTGGGGACAGCAAGCGAGCCAGGGTCACGCCCAGGTTATTGACTAAGCAACTGCTCAGATGGTGTGGCCATAAAAAGGCTGTGCTTGGAGGGGTGGGGTGAGGAGACTGGGAATTAGAAAGATTGGGGTCCCCTTGAGCTAGAAATGGCTTATGGCCATCAAGAAGTCACACAGGAGGTGCCTGAGTCTGAAGAGTGTATAATTGGAGTGTAGGTAAGACTGTCCTGTAGATACTTTTACTGAAGGCTGCCCTGATGGCGTGAGGGGCAGGAGCCCAGCAGCAGTGTGTTCTAGGAGTGCTCTGCTAATAATAATAATAATGATAATAATAATAATAATAATAATCCTATATAATAAAAGCATAATATGCTAAATGTTCGGTCAGCCTGTCAGCCGTTCATCAAAGTGTAATATGCTAATGATATGCTAAAGCCACTCAACCGCTCACTATGACATGCACTGACCACCAGGGGGCAGATGCTCCAACTGGTAGGTTAGCTTGCTGCTTGGGTCAAGCCGTGGAGCCCTCCTGCAGTCCCTTCCTGGCTGGTTAACCTCCCGCATCCCTCCCTGGCCCCGATTGTGTACTGGTGGGGTCCCTCAGCCTGGCCTGCGCCCTCTCGCAATCTGGGACCCCTTGGGGGATGTCGGAGAACCGGTTTCGGTTTCGGCCTGATTCTGTAGGCCAGGCTGAGGGACCCCACTGGGTGCATGAATTCGTGCACCGGGCCCCTAGTAATAATAATAATAATAATAATAGTAATAATAATAAAAGGTTAAGATCAGGTTGTCACTATACTTTGTGTGTCTGGAGTTCTGTGCTGAGCTTCAGAGTTTGAAATTTCTAGGAAAGCAAGAATTTCTGGAAATCCTGGCACAGGGCAGGGATTTTCATCTCTTGGGGGAAACTGCAGTTTCCCCACAACCATTTAGTGAAAAGATTACCCTTCCCTCATCGAGTAACCTTGCTCCTTTGTCATAAATGAACTGACCATATATGCATGAGTTTTATTTCTCATGCATATATGGTCATTTACCAAGTTTGACTTCTGAATTTTCCAGGAGGGCGAAGGGGGAGACAGTTCAAAGTGGGAAGCCCTTTCTGCAGACGGTTTGGTCCAACCCCATTCATCTTTATACCATAAAATGGCATAACGTTGACAGCAAACTCGTCTCATGTAGCTCCTCACAGCTACCAAGGTTCCTCAAGCCAAAGAAACAACTCCACTTCCATTTCATTTGGCCCCTGTGGTCTGTGCCTTCTTCTCCCCGATATTTTACATTCAACCAACTCCTGCAAAAACCCAGCTTCTTTCCAGTTGATGAACCTGAACAGGCTGTGTAGGAGACAGCGTTTTGCTTTCTCCCCTAGATCTCATTACTTCTGAGCCCCCCTGGTTGCTCACCCAGTGCCTATCAGCCAGGACGACACTCCACTGCACTACGGCTGCCCGGAGCGAGGAGGGACAGTCACGGGTTTGCAAAGTCGCCCAGGGCTGAGAGGCTTCCCTTTCCGATCAGGATTTGAAAGTTGGATAAGCTCATGTTTTCATCTCGGAGGATCTGGTTAGAAAAACTCAATACCTATTGTCAGAGCTCTGAATCTTTCCTTCAGATGTTGGGACAGGAGGTGCAGCTCTGGGTGAGTCTTAACTCCTGTTTGCTAAACGATGGCGATTGTATCAATTGTTAACGTTTGTTATAAAGCATCCCATACCTGGGAGGAGGGACTATGCTTACCCTCGTTTTATATCTGGGGAAACAAGGCACAGGCTGAATCTGATTGTGTTTACCCAGCGTGGCTCACATATATAGGGTGTCCCAAAATTCACGCAAGATTTGAATTTTGCGTGAGCATTAACAACAACAACAAAATAAAAGCCTAATTTTACTTGGTTTATTGAATCAGATTCTCATATCTGTTGCCCTTTGATTTCAATCCCTTCAATTTGATCAGCATTACCAAGTACCAATTATGGCCCAGGATCAGGGACAATGAAGACCAATGAAGATCACGGCTTTGCATATGTGCCAGCAAAGCCGTGGAGGCCGTTTACCCGATGTGCTATTCCATACATAACCTTATACTGTATACTTTATGAATCAATAAAAAATTTACAATTTTTAATTATAAACCTGTGTTTTCTATCAAAATCCCTTCTTGCGTGAATTTTGGGACACCCTATAAATGGTGAACAGAGGCTTACTTTTTAAACGGCTGTATTGTTTTAGCCTTGTTTTCTGTTTAAGATGGTTCTGGGTTTCTATTCAGGAAAAGTGGTAAAAAGTTTTCAGAAAGCAAGTTAACTTCAAGAAAATCAGTTGCGTGCAGCCACAGCAGAAACCGTAAGGGTCCGAGTGGCCTCTAGGTAACTATTTTTTGTGGGGCTCCTGTCTACATAAGCAATTTGAGGCACCCTCAGATTGATGTCTCAGCACCATTCTGGTGGACCAATCTCCCATGATCCCTCAGCGAAAAAAGGAAAAGGACTTAGGGGCTGGCCATCAGGGGCAGTCTGCTCACCAGGAAGCTCCCTGGAAACCGGTCTGGACCCTTTAGGTGCAGGTTCTGGAGCTCTTTGGGGCATCTGGTTGACTTGGTGCCCTGAAGGGAAGAAGTGGGAGCCAGCTGGTCCCTGTCACCAGAGGGCATTTCAAGGTCGGTGCTTCCAGCAGCAGCACCTATGCATGGCCCTGTATGTGCGTGGGGCCCCGCCCATATGGTAATGCTGGCTGCAGACCCTGGGAGGAGGCTTGGAAAATCCCCAAGGAGGCATTCCAAGAGCAGGGGTGAGGGTCCCTGAGGGGGGGGGGGAACACCTGCTTGCCTGGGGCTTATGGGTAGCACTGAGAGTAGCATGAACATTGAACAATATTGTTAAGACTTAAATAGCAACAACTTCCAAACCTCTTAGGTGCTGTCACTATAAGGTGAGGGGCGAGGGCATAGTTGTTGTAAGCCAGCTGGAAAGTTCTAGTATTTGTAATATCTAATTGTAAAATTCTGTTTGTGGGTTGATGGTAAGGGGTAACCTTTTTTTTATATATATATAACTTGGAATTTTGTAAGATGTTTAAGCAGAGATCTGCTTTTGCGTTCTGAGTGGCCAGCTCAGCCCTGTTGGCTGTAAATGCTCTGGGACCCCCTATGAGGTGTGAAGTGAATGGTTAGGTGTTATAAACCTAACTTACCTGGGTGCTCCTTCTAGAGGCCTAGGGACGCTGGCGAGGGCAGGGCCACGCGGGACGGGGAATCTGACAAATGCAGGTGACCGCACGGCTCCACGGTGTCGGGCAGGTGGCTTCTGCGCCCCAGTGGGAGGCGTGAAGTGAATGGTTCCCCCTCAGAGGGCTGAGATGAGGAGTAAACATACGCACGGTGTGTGTACCCCAAAAAGGCTCCCTGCTGTGTGAACTCAACACAGAAAGGGGATTCTTGAGCAGCCTGCCTCTCCAGAGAAACGAGACACCAAAGTATCCGGTGCTTTCAACTCTTTTATTGCTAAACTATCATGATACAAGCCGTATAAAAATACTTTACAGATAGCAAAAATAAACTACATTAAACTGGAGATTAAAAATGTCTTGCATAGGAATGTGATGTATTCAAACTCCTTTAACAGTCGATGTTCAAAACCTAAGCCTCCCAGCAGCACCGGTTGGAGAGACGTGGATCGCGAGGAACCCAGGCGGACATTCTCAGCCCTCTCTCCCCTCAGAGGGCCGCGGCGGCCACTGGGGTAAGTGAGGTTCTGCCCATGTGTTCAGGATGCTAAGCTCGGCCAACCACAGCCAATCAGAATGCTGGAAGCACCTCCTCCTGGAAGCAGCATCATTTGCATCCAGTTCATGCAAACCCTGAAGAGGCAGGTGTTTATTCTCCTCGGGCAACAGCTGCGTTCGACCTTTCCCCCGGCACCCAGCACCCCGGCTCTGCCTTGGGAGGGACTTGCTCCGGGAGCACCTCTAGCTCACCAGCACCAGAGAAGTTTGCTTTTGAACAAACTGAGTTAAGACAGTGATGTTGGCTATAACTCGGGGACTCGGGAAAGCTGGGGGGATTGGTGCCTGCCACCCCAGCTTCCCTTTTGCTTACGTATTTAGCTGGGATGCAGGAAAACACGCGCATTGGCCGGTGGGCTCCGTGGGCCTGAATGCCCAGGTCTCAAGCTTGGAAGACACCAGGTCAAGGTGTGTTGGGTGCCTGCCAGAGCCCTGCCCTTCCAAGAATATAAGTTCAGGAACGTTTATCGCCCTGCTTGCCAAGAATGTCACCACCCCCTGCTTCTTGTAAACACGAAGCGAGCAGTTGTTAACCAGACCCCTGACACTCTTTCCATTTTGAACAATAGAAAGCACTTGGGAAGTGTCTTTTGACATGAAAATAAACAAATTCTGCCTCGCTTTCGTCCAGAGTGACAATCAGAACACATTGGTTTCCGATCTGTCTCAATGGGGCAGCCGCCACCTCGGCCGAGGCTGATGTAAGCAGGAAAAGCACTCCAGTGCCTCCCAGCTCTTAGAAGGAACCAGGCATGTCATCAGAGGCCGTGTCCTCTGCATAATGTGTGTGAGGGGGGGTCATCTACCGGGATTCAGTCAGCTCTGTAAACATTAGCCTGCACTTGGCGTTCTGTGAACACGGGTGCTTCCGGAATCCCCTTACAACACAGGCAGGTGTTTGATACCATCTACTTACTGGGGGATCTAAACACTTTACAATACAGTTCCCCTTGGAGTCAGGCAGCGTTGGTCTCAAGCAAGACAGGTGGTTCCTTCTGCCACAAAGCCACTCCCCCTCTCTCCGAAGATGCTTCTGTCTGGGAGACAGGTGACTGACAGCCTCTGAGGTGGGGTTTTGTCTTGTTTCCTGGAATGATTAACACCTTTTCAAGAATACATCATTTCTCTTAGGGGGGAAAATCAACATAGATGTTAAAAGATACACTGGAAAAAGACTTCTGACCATTTATAAATATTCTTCTAATTCCAACCGGGGTGCACTATGTTGAGGACAGATAAAAAGCATAAAAATACAGATAAGAAAATAAAATTTAATGACATACTAATTAATTTGGATCGCTATTATATATTATCAAGCAGCAGTATTTTTGTACAACGCGGGAAGACTGGCAAACTTTGGAGATAGACTACATTCAGCAACACGGTAGGTCTCTGCTAGAAGTCTACCTGTCGCACTGACCTTGAAAGTAGCAAGTGCAAACGTCCACCTCACCGAGGTCCTTCTAACACATGGGCAACACACACCCCTTCACCACGTAGACGTCCCTGCTTTCTCCTTCTCTTAGAGGACTCGGCGGCCTCTTCCCATCCTGAAAGTAGTTCGTGAGCAATTACTCTTGGCAAAATTTCCTCCGGCATCTGTAACTGACAAAACTTTCTCCATAGCTGTCGGCTCCTAATAGCATGTTTGCTCGCCTATTTATGTCTCAAAACGAACGTCCTTGCTTCTCTTTCCTTTGCTGTCTGGGATCGTTGTTTTGTGGAAATGCTTCCTATAATATCCAGCTAAGATGTCTTAGAAAAAGAGAGTTTGTGTGTGTATCACACACACACACACACACACACACACACACACGTGTACATACAGGGGTCTGAGCTCACAGGAGGCCCTTGCCACTCACATGGTTAGAAGATGGATGGAAAACACATTAGTCCTTTTTCACCCCATGCTCAGGGAAGCTGAGCGACTTTGCTACAATAGCAGGAAGGCACTTGGGTAAGACATTCAGATAGCTGAGGAAAGGCCAAATTTCCTCATGTGCAAAAGAAGTGGCTCCTGGCCAGGTCCGCGAGAGGACGTCAGTCACCGCACACTCGAACTCTTCCCGGTGAAGTCAGCGTTGCTGGTGAGAAAGGTCTTTGGGTAGAGCTGCTTGTGGAAGGATCTCTATGAGGAAGAATTCTGCATCCCCGAAGCTTTGCAGCAGCGGTCGCCTTCTTACTGGCATTCTGTCTATTTCAAAGGATTTTTGCTAAACTTTGTGCTTGGGTGGGTGGAGGCGTGGGCCTCTGCCCTTGGGGTCAAAGGTTATCTTGAGCAAAAGGTGATAGACAGGAGGGTGCAAAGGCCCAACCTGGGCATTCTGTCCTCCCTCTGGGGCACCAAACACACCGGGCCACGGGCACCAAGTCCTGCACTCCGGGCCCGGCTCCCGGGGAGGTGTGACCTCTGGGGAACCTCGATGAGAAAGCCAGCACTGAGAAAACCCACAGGGGACCCCCACCTGCCGTGATCCCCTCTACCTAGCAGACTTGATCGGAAATCTCTGGAGCACAGCCTCTCGCAGAGCGCCAGGCATACACTCACTGTCAGTTACTAGGGAAGCCACCGAGTGGCTGAGAATGAATCCCCGGCGCGTCCTGGGTGTCTGCAGGAAATGCAAACAAAATACATCTTTGTGACAAAAACTCACCTGCTAAGAACTTTGAGAGTTTTGTTGGCAAAATTGCACCAAAGGAGGGAGGTGCTGGAGGACCCTGGATGTGCTCAGGGGAGAGAAACGAGGGGGCGGGGCCACGCATACCTAAGGGTGCACCGTGGGTGGGCCTGCCCTACTCAGATGAGTCCTGTGCTGGAGGAGGCAGCTGTGCAGAAAGGTCTTTGGGGCCGAGCGGGGCTTTCAATAGGTTCAGGTCAAAATAACCCATGACCTTCAGGGCCAGATCCTGAGCTTGTGTGTCCCACTTGGAGTCTAGGCCAGAAAGAGGGAATTCAGCCCTTTCCCCCTGCTATGGGGAGCCCACTCACTCAGGCCTGCCAACTGCCTCTTTTCACAACCGCTTCACAAAAATACCTGTGCTTTTTTTAGGGGGGAAGGGGGGTTGCTTTAGCCCTGTGCCATTCCTTCTGAAAATGCAATGCACATGCGTGGGAGTCTCGTAACGCCTTGATGGGAAAGCACTCTGGCTGTTAGGAAGAAGCACGGGGACGTCGCCGAGCCGTTAGGTTGGGGCTGCAGCCAGGGCGCTCACTCTGCAGCCGGGGTCACCTCCAGTCTGGGGCGCGCTGCAGGGTGGGAGCTGCTGGCCAGGGCGGCGCCACCTCCAGCCACCTCGGCCAGCCTCATGAAGCAGGGAAAAAGCATACATGTCATAACTTAACTCCAGGAAGTTCTAACGGGGGATCTTGTAGGGGCCAGACAGTTTTGCTTCCGGATGAGAATTTAAGAATACGTGTTAGCCGTGGCCCCGCTGTGGCATGCCCGGGTGGCCCTAAGGACGACGGCTGGCCTCTGTTTCTCCAGGCCGTGAGCTGGACGCTTGGGCCACGTTCCTTTGCCTGTTCTGTTTGGGAACGCCTCTCTTCCGGAAGGTGCGGAGCTGGGAAATGAGTGGAGGACGGGGTTTAACCACAGGGCTGCGTCTTCCATCCCCCACCAGCCGTGCCGTCACCCGCTCTCAGGTGCGGTCTGGCGGGCTGTCTTGATCAGAATTTGGTTTTGGTCAGCAGGCACTTCAGGTTTGGACGGGACACCATTAAAGTCCACCGAGATGCTCTTTGGGATTTGAGAAAAAAACAAAATCAAAAGGCAGAGCGTCCTCGCTGTGTTTCCGGAGAGGTGGCGAGCTCCTGGACGAGTCGGCTGCCTGCCCCGAGGAGCGCTGCCCACGTGGGACTCCGGGCGGGCGGAGACCGTCAGGAAGACGGGAGGGCGTGGAGGGCTCCGAGGGGACAGGTACGGAAGGTGTCTTGCTAATGGCGGCTTCTACGTCTGATTTCTGGTGGGAGGTCCTGAAAACTCCTTCCTGATGATTTCATTAACTACAAAAGAAAAGAGAGAGAGAGTAGGGGCGAGTGAGGCACCAAAACACAGATCAGATTCACTTTCTAGAGCCAAAGACAATCGGGTTTTTTTTTTTTAAACACATTTTTGTTCTCTGCAATAATAGATCTGACAGTTTTTAACATACGAAATGCCTTCCTATGGATTTGTTGGGCAAAGTTGTCTAAACGGTAACTTTAGAAAAATCATGGCAGAAATGGAGTTGGTCCTGGTGGCAGGTTCTCAGTAAGTTCCTCTTCTTCTAATTTTTATCTTTTCAAAAATATTTTTATTGATTTCAGAGGGGAAGGGAGAGGGAGAGAGCGATAGAAACATTAATAATGAGAGAGAATCATTGACCGGCTGCCTCCTGCATGCCTCACACTTGGGATCAAGCCTGCAACCTGGGCATGTGCCCTGACTGGGGATCGAACCGTGACCTCCTGGTTCATAGGCTGATGCTCCACTGAGCCTTGTCCATAGCCTAGCTTCCCTCTGTTTATTTAATGCGCTGTAGGCTCCCTATTGCACACCAGACTCCTTCCATTATCACGACATCCAGGAAATACCTATTACAGGACTGAAACACAGTTCCTTGACCCACAGCATGTACAGCCCCCAAAAGAGGCCTGTAAAAGGACAGTGGGGGGACACCACAGACAGACTGGCCACCAATGTGCACATCATCTCTATTTCAGCACAACCAGGAACCCGCCCCACGTGGCGAGGCTTATCAAGTTGAAGGTGGCCTCTTCCTCCAGGACACAGCACCAGCTCTCCTGTCCCGTTTGGGCCACTTATCCAGGACGCTACTTCCTGGAATCAAGGCAGTGAGGTCTTAGAATAGTGGGCCTTGTGAAAGCTTCCTTTTGCGTTCTTAGAAAGAAGACCCTGCCATCAATGCGGCCCAACAGGGTGTGCGCCTGCCCCAGGGGTGTGCACACCTTCGGGTGGGCAGTTGAGCGGTCCCATCACAGGTACATGAACCTCCCTCTCCTTGTTCTGACACCGAATCCTTTCCACAGCCACCTCCTATTTTCTCTTCTCATCTTAGCCTCACCTACAGTTAGAGACGGAAAATTGGAAGTAAGGGTTCACTGTGGAGATTTGCTCAAAGTCTCTCCCTGTTCAAGTTGGGTCCTCCTAGGTCCAGGGATGAGTGCAACACCCGAAATAGGAGGAGAGTGATGTACACTGCTTTAGAGCTGGACGAGTCAGGCGTGACTCAGCGCCCTCACAAAACTGGCTGCCGTGTGACGACCTCTCTGTGCCTTGGTTTTCTCATCTGTAAAGTGGGGATCATAACAGTGTGTGCCCTTTGGGGTGGATGTGAGGCGCGATGGACATACAAACTCCTTGCACCGGCCTGGTGAGGGGGTTCTGTCGCCGGTGGCTGCGATGGTTAGCGATACCCCCGCACTTTGTGGGGGGCGCTGGGCTCAATGCTTTCTTTTGCACCAGCAACCAGTCCGGCACGGCTCGCTATTCTGCAGAGGGATGCCGAGAGCATGTGCGAGGCGGAGTCCAGGCTCCAGAGCCTGCTGGCCAGGGTTAGAGTCTTGCCTCTGCCACTCCCTGTTTGCTGAACCCTGCCTGAGTGATGGAAGTACTTTGTGCCTCAGTTTCCCCATCTGTAAACTTTATATAAAAATGTTACCTTCCTCTGAGGGTTGTTGAGGAGCTTGGATGAGATGATACAAGTGACAGTTACCACAGTGGCCAGTGTCTAGCAGGTATTGGTTTGTAGAGTAATATGTATGTATGTGACATATATGTACATATTTGAATATGATCCATGTATGTTCATGCATGCAAATGTACATTAGAATAACATCCATTTCCAGTGTGGAAAGGGGTCCATGAGTGGGAACTCAGAGGATGAATGGACAGATTCAGCTAACCAGCATTAATTGGGCACCTACTATGTGCCAGGGGAATTCTGGGAGCCCTACATCAGGCACCAATGGCGAATGGCTGCCCCAGCCCTGCCCCTCAAGAGCCCTGCGGGGCCTGGTGAGCCAGGGCCTTTGTGAGGCCCCATGAAAGCCCGGTGCCAGGGGGCGGGGGGTCAGCGCAGCTTCAGCGAAGCTTTTCAAAGCCCGGATTCTGAAGGGCTTCCTGTTTTCTCAACCTAGGAAACGAGAGGAGTTGATCCTCAGTGGGAACTTTCCACCACCTTTGCTTCTAAAAATAGCCGGTGGGCAGAGCCGCTGGCATCAGGGCGCTCAACAAAGGCCGGTTCCCTGGTCAGAACCCGGGGCTGGGGGGGCCAGGGCAGGGGATGGATGCTGGGACACAAGCCGCTTTCCCTCCTGGCTGCGAGCGACTCAGGTAGAAGCCCAGTTGCCTCTGGAACGTGCAGGAGCTGGTGCACTTACTTCGATGGCCCGCCCTCGGGGGTAGGAGGTGGCCGGGCAGTGAGGTCCACGCAAACCCACGCAACCTCCCGGGAGAGGAACCCGCTCTTCCTGAAACCTCAGCGCTTGCTCCCCTGGCTGTGCACGGGAGAAAGTTCTAGTGCACAAGTGCCAGCTGGTGGTAACCATGACCGTACAGGTGCATCAGTCTGGAGACTAGGGCTCCCAGCACTGAGAGGGTCGTTGCGTGACCACTTCATCCCAACTCGGTCTCCTGCCTGCGGGAGCTCCCGCCTTCGCAGACCCAGGTGTCCCAGCTCAAGGACGAGAGACAGGGAGCTGCCACTGCCCTTTGCCTCCATTCCACGGTGTCCACCTGGTATCCCTCCCTTTGTCTCTCCCACCTTTTGTCCTTGGGGAGACCGAGGGTCCCCCCCTCTCAGCCCTGCTGTCCCCTCATTCTCACATCCTTAGTTTCACTCCCTTGCTCTGAACCCCTCCATGCACTTAAGGCCTCCCTTCTCCTAGAACCCTGCTCTGAGCCTGGCCTCCCCCTGCTTCCCTGCAGGCCCTGTGACCTGGCCCTGCTGCCCTTCCCCGACTGCATGCCAACCACACCAGCTTCCCGGGCCCTGCGCCCCACCGTGCCCAACTCGTGCCCCAGAGCCTCTGCCCTGGCTGGGCTTCCACCGCCTCTGCTTTTCCTCCTCACTTCATTCACGGCTCCGCCTGGATGGTCTCTTCTGGGAGGCTGCCCTGGTGGCGATGCGCAGTGCTCCTCCCCATGGTGGGGTCCCCTCGTCTCCTCTATTTATCGGCTCCTGGGAATTCTCTGGTGCTTTGTTAATGTTCTTGCCCCCACCCCATGCACCTAGCTCTGTAACAGTGCCTGGGTACACAGGAAGTGCTCACTAACATGTATTGACGAATGAGAACAGTGACGCTTAGACAGGGGTTACATAGCCTCAGGTCACCCTGGCCTTTGCCCCCAGGTCTGACTCTGAGGCCTAAGCCCTGAACCCCTTTTCTATGCCATTGCCATCAGCATTTCATCCATTCAATACGTGTTTTGAGCATCTATCCTATGCCAACCTCTCCTCCCACTTCTTCCCAAATTGGCCACGTGCAGTTCTACCACTAGCCCCAATCCTTGTTCAAACCCTAGCTTCCCTCCTGCCCATCCCTACAGGCCATCACACCCCTACCAGGGGGCCCTCACTCCCTCCGGAAGCAAGCACAGTTGACCCGTGAACAACACGGGGGTTAGCACCGACCCCCTGTGCAGGTGGAAAATCCACATAGAACTTTTGTTTCTCCCCAAAATTAACTACCAATAGCCTACTGTTGATCAAAGCCTTACTGAAAAACATAGTCAACACAATTTGTAAGCTGTATGTATTATATACTCTATTCTTACAATAAACTAAGCTAGAGAGAAAAAATATGAAGAAAATCATAAGGAAGAGAAAATACGTTTACAGTATTTATTGAAAAGAATCCATGGATAAGTGGATCCACAGAGTTCAAACCCATGCTGTTCAAGGATCAACTGTATTGAATTCTCAAAATGCTTTGCTCGCCTCTCCTCTGCCAGGTTATTGGAGTCACCTGTGTCCTCACTGTACCATGGACTGCACCATGCACACAGCAGGTGCCTAATGCATGTATCTTAGCCCACCACAAGGACCCCGTACCAGCAGCCTAGGTCACTTGGTTTAGGGAAGCTGATTTTCCTTTGTTATCTGATTGACAAATTGGTTGCCTGTCTATGACTTGTCTAAAGCATTTTCTACAAAAGAATGGGAACCATTCACATTTATCGAGGGCGAACTGTGTGTCAGGCACTGTTCTAAGGGCTAAGTTATTTCTCACAGCAAACCTAGTCATAGAATATGCTTACTCTATGGATGGGGAAACAGAGACAGGCAGTCCTCTGCCATAGCAGGTGAGGGGATCAGGACCGGAACCCAGGACCCATTTCACAAACAGGGACACTATATGGCGGGTGGTACAGAGACCGTGCTATTAAGCTCAGTAATCGTCACCCTTCTTATGGGGCCCTGGAGTCCTCAGTGGCTTTTGTGTGAGTCAACAGCAGAGAAAGCCATGAGCCGAGTGGTTAAGGTGGTCACTGAGTATCACTTTCTCAGAACAGAATTGAGGCCAGTGGTGCTAGGTCTGCCACAAGCACCCGACCTTTTATCCCCGTAGAGGCACTGCGATGGAAACACCGATGAGGAACACGTCTACAACCTCAGGGTGATCACTAAGCCTGACTCTTAAGGCCAAAGCCAGAAAGGAAAAGACGGACAGATGTAAGTACATAAAAGTTATACACTTTTCTCTTCAAAATTCCAAATGTTTTCAGTGGGTGACAAAAAGTCATTCATATATAAAGAGGTATTACAAATCAACAAGAAACTAGAATTCTTCTAATATATGGCTGTAGACATAAGAATATCTGAGGGGTCACTAAAGTTTTCCTGTAAAGGGCCGGATAGAAACATTATAAGGGGCGATATAGCCCCTTAATCCCTCAGCTCTGTGGTTGGAGCATGAAAGCAGCCCTAGCCATAGACAGTATGTGAGCAAATGGGCATAGTCGTGTGTCAATAAAACTTTATTTACCAAAACAGGCCGGG